GTACGGGACCACCAGATCTTGCCAGGCCTTCTTCGCCGTGGCGGTGAGATCCGACAGGCCCCCGCCCGCGATGCCAGACGCTTCTGGGCTCAGCTTCCCGTGGCCTGTATGCGGGGCGCCCACTAGGCACATGATGACGCAGAGGCAAGCATTCGCTACGTTGCGGAATGTTGCGGGGCATCTGCTGGCTCTTCCTGTAGCTGCGCCCCTGGGCGTCCATGTGGCACACGTACTGACCTGCACCAGAAGTCCTGGTCCAGCGCAGTGGCGGTGACGTACATGGTTTCGCTGATGACGCTGCTGTTCCTCTCCGCCTCACGGACGTCGTGAGTGATCCGGCGCGGCAGAGACACCAGCCAAAACCAACGCTTACGCTGCCGAAGAGGAAGTGGCAAAAAAAGGATGCGAGAGAAGGTCAACAAAACGACGACCAGGACCGCGAAGCTGAACTTCCCAACCGTGATGACGTCACCGATGGCCACAATGTCCTGGCCGCACGTCGGGGCCACGTCCACGTGGAGCAGCGTGGCGGTGGACATATCTCCATCGACGATCTTGGCGTGGAGGCGAATATCGTTCCAGCGGAAGCGGTTCGGACTCATCCAGATCCGTCGGGGCCGTGAAGGCCGTGGGGCACGCGGGTGTTATGGGGTGAAAGGTAGAAGACATGGCATCGAGGGCAAGTGCAGCATGAGAGATTGCAAAGCGCAAGGCCTCTCTCCTTTCTCTGCATGGTGTCTCGCGTGCACGCTATAAGCCAGGATGGCAGCTTTCGCGCACGCATGCATACTCGTGCCGAATGGGAAGACAACGAGGAACTGGAGTAATGTCAAGATGCACTGGAGGTGTTTCGTCACACCCCTTCGTCACACAAAGCCACCCTCCCAGGCAGTCTCCATACACACAGTCATTACCACTACGGGAAGCGCATCATGTAAAGACGAACGACGCATGGACCTGCCATTCAGTCGAGAGTTCAAGTTTGAAAATATGCGGCCCTCCGTCGGTTTAGATACATCGAAGACAAGAACTGGACATTCAAAGAGCTACCTAAGGCAACACGATCGGCATCGAAATCGGGAGGACGGGAAGAAGGTGCAGGAAGTGATGGGCCCGAATTGTGTTGCCGCACATCGTCATCGCTGTCGTCGTCGTACACGTCGTCGTCGTCGTCATAGTCGTCGTCGCCATCGTCGTCGTCGTACGTCGTCGTCGTCGTCGGCGGCAGCGGCGGCGGCGGCGACGGCGCCGTCGGCGTCGGCATCGGCATCGGCGTCGGCGTCGGCGTCGGCGTCGTCGTCGAAGACGTCATCGCCGCCGTCGTCGTCGTCGTCGCCGTCGGCGTCGGCGTCGGCGTCGTCGTCGCACACGTCGTCGGCGTCGGCGTCGACGGCGGCGGCGTCGGCGTCGTCGTCGCACACGTCGTCGGCGTCGATTGTCGTCGGTGGCGGGCTCCAAGCGAACCCCAGCGGAGTCCCGGGGCCCCTGGCCGCTGGGAGCCCTTGAAGGCGTCGAGCCCTTGGAAACCAGGGGCCCCGAAGGGGCCCCTAGGGGCCCGAGGCCCGACCCCTCCTGGAGGCGCCCAGAGGGCCCAGGCTCGACCCCTGGCGCCCTCGGGGGCTCCGGGGATTTCAGCTTGGGCCCCTGGGGGCCCGGGCCGCAGACCCGATCCCCAGGGGCCCATGGGGGCCCCTGGGAATCATGAGAATCCTAGGCCCGACCCCTTGGCCCCCAGGGGGCCCCAGGGTCCCCTCGGGGCCCCTGGAGGCCCCCAGGCCCGACCTCGAAGGGGGCACCCTGGACCCCAAGGGGCCCCAGGCCACACCTACAAAGGCCTCTCGGGGCCCCAGGCCCGATTCCTTTGCGCCCCCAGGAGCACCTAGGGGCCCCAGGCCCGACCCCTGGGCGCCTTGAGGGGCCTCGAGGAGCCCCACCTCTAGGGGATCTTCGGGGCTCCTCGGGGCTCCCGGGGAGCCCATGCCCGGCCCCCAAGGGCCCCAGACTCGATCACCAAAGGGCCCTGGGGGTCCCCTCGGGATCCCGGGCCCCGCTCTAACCCCTTGGGGCTCCCAGGGGCCTGAATGAAAAGGCAAGCGAACACGACCCCGAGGGCCCCCGCCGGGGCCCCAGGCCCGACCCGACCCTAGAAGCTCCTGGGGAGCCCCAGCCCCGACCCCTAGGGGCCTTGAGGGCCCCCGAGGGACTCCAGGCCAGATTCCCTCGGGGGCCCATAAGGGGGCCCTAGGGATCCCAGGCCCCGCTCCTAAGGGCCACATGCCCGGCCCTGGGGGCCCAGGAGGCCCCCGTCGCGGGCCCTGGCCCGACCCCTGCTGGCCCCTGTGCCAGGAGAAAGGCAGAGGAGGCGCGGCGCCTTCGGAAGCCAGCGGGTGCGGCTGGGCCTTGGCCCGAGGCGGCCGCGGCCACGGCAAGACACCGCGCTTCACGGCACTCGGGAAGGATCGAGTGAACAATCGGAGCCCCGTTGGGTCCAGGCAGAAGAGAAAAAGGCGGGCACCGACGACGACGACGACGACGACGACGACGACGACGACGACGACGACGACGACGACGACGGCGGCGGCGGCGGCGGCGGTGGCAGCAGCCGCTCGCGCAGGAGCGGGCGCGGCGGGGCGCCTGCAGCGAGGTGGCACCAACGCGGGGAAGGAAGCGGGGAGACTCAACGCATCGAGGAGCAATGCCCGTCTTCAAGGCCAAACCCAGCGCGCCCTGCCCCCCCGAAAGACAAGTAAAATCATATACACATATATAAATACTAGAACCACGCGCGCGCTTCGCGCGCGCTTAGGTTCTGTCGAGTCACAGACCCAGGAATCGTTGTGAGAAAAAATTGGTGACGCGAAGCGTCGTGGGGGCGTCCTTGGACGTCTGGGGTCTCCTGGGGCCTCTTGAGGGGCCTCCTGGGGGCCTCCTGGCGGCCTCTTGGGGCGGAAGGCTCGAGCTTGCGGTTCGTGGTCCCCCTCTGGGCCCCCTCTTGGGCCCGTCTTGGGGCCCTCTTGGGCCATCTTGGGCGCCTCTTGGGCCGTCTTGGGGCCCTCTTGGGCTGTCCTGGGGCCCTCTTGGAAGCTTCTTGGGCCGTCTTGGGGCGGTCTTGGGCGCCTCTTGGGCCGTCCTGTAACGTCGGAAAGCCCAAAAGACAACTTTGTTGAAATGTACGTTTTACGAAGGGAATGGGCAATTTTTTGCGTCTAGGGGCCCTCTTGGGACGCATGTTGGAGGCTTCTTGGGGCCTCTTGGGGGCGTCCTTGGACGTCTGGGGTCTCCTGGGGCCTCTTGAGGGGCCTCCTGGGGGCCTCCTGGCGGCCTCTTGGGGCGGAAGGCTCGAGCTTGCGGTTCGTGGTCCCCCTCTGGGCCCCCTCTTGGGCCCGTCTTGGGGCCCTCTTGGGCCATCTTGGGCGCCTCTTGGGCCGTCTTGGGGCCCTCTTGGGCTGTCCTGGGGCCCTCTTGGAAGCTTCTTGGGCCGTCTTGGGGCGGTCTTGGGCGCCTCTTGGGCCGTCCTGTAACGTCGGAAAGCCCAAAAGGCGACTTTGTTAAAAATGTACGTTTTACGAAGGGAATGGGCCAATTTTGCGTCTAGGGGCCCTCTTGGGACGCATGTTGGAGGCTTCTTGGAGCCTCTTGGGGGCGTCCTTGGACGTCTGGGGTCTCCTGGGGCCTCTTGAGGGGCCTCCTGGGGCCTCCTGGCGGCCTCTTGGGGCGGAAGGCTCGAGCTTGCGGTTCGTGGTCCCCCTCTGGGCCCCCTCTTGGGCCCGTCTTGGGGCCCTCTTGGGCCATCTTGGGCGCCTCTTGGGCCGTCTTGGGGCCCTCTTGGGCTGTCCTGGGGCCCTCTTGGAAGCTTCTTGGGCCGTCTTGGGGCGGTCTTGGGCGCCTCTTGGGCCGTCCTGTAACGTCGGAAAGCCCAAAAGACAACTTTGTTGAAAATGTACGTTTTACGAAGGGAATGGGCCAATTTTTGCGTCTAGGGGCCCTCTTGGGACGCATGTTGGAGGCTTCTTGGGGCCTCTTGGGGGCGTCCTTGGACGTCTGGAGGCCATCTTCAGCATCTCGGAGCCCTCTTGGAGGCCTCTTGGAAAATTCTTGGGCCGTCTTGGGCGCTCCTGGGGCCGTCTTGTCTGACCGGGGAGGCCTCCGGCAAGCCCCGACGAGCCTCCGGGCCCCCCGGGGTGCACATTTGTGGTCGAGGTCCCGGCCCTGGGCCCCCGGACCCGGTGCGCCGTTATATGTATAAAATATTAGAGGGGAAGAGAAAATCAGAGGGGGAAACGTGCCAGACCCCAGGCTGGCGGGAGAGCAACTGTCCCTCCGGCCCGTGCCGGGAAAGGGAAGAAGCAAAGTAGGAGGAGGAGGAGGAGGAGGAGGAGGAGGAGGAGGAGGAAGAGACTGCGGAGAAGGAGGAGGGAGATCAGAGAGGAGGAAGCAAGAGCAGCACCAGCAACTCCTCATCCTCCACTTCCGCTTCCTCCTTCTCCTCCTCCTCCTCCTTCTCCTCCTCCTCCTCCTCCTCCACCTCCTTCTCCTCAGCATCGTAATGCTCCTCATCATAATTCTCCTCCTCCTCCTCCTCCTCCTCCTCCTCCACCTCCTCCTCCTCCTCCTCCTCCTCCTCCTCCCTCCTCCTCCTCCTCCTGTTCCTCCTCCTCCCTCCTCCTCCTCCTCCTCCTCCTCCTCCTCCTCCTCCCCTCCTCCTCCTCCTCCTCCTCCTCCTCCTCTCTCCTCCTCCTCCTCCTCCTCCTCCTCCTCCCCCTCCCCCTCCCCCTCGCCCTCGCCCTCGCCCTCGGCCCTCTCGCCCCGCCCGCCGCCTCACCTCTTCCTCCCCTCTCCCTTCCTCCTCCTCCTCCGCCTCCCCCCCTCCTCCTCCGCCTCCTCCTCCCTCCTCCTCCTCCTCCTCCTCCTCCTCCTCCTCCTCCTCCTCCTCCTCCTCCTCCTCCTCCTGCTCCATCATCCCCTATCATCCCCGTCGCGCGGCCCCCCCGTCGGAACGCGTCCCTGTCGGCCGTTGCGTGCGCCACCCGCCTCTTGGCGACCCGCTCCTTTTTCCGGCGCTTCCTCTCGCCTTTTTGGCGGGGAGGCGGATGAGGAGGAGAGCAAAGAGGAAACCAAGGGATAGTAGGTGGAATCGAGGGCGATGACATCAAGAAGGAAGCACAGCTAATAGAACAAGGAACACAAAAAGCCGAAGGGGAGAGGGAGAAGGAGGGTGAGGAGGAAGGGGAGAGGAAGGGAGAGAAAGGGGGGAGGGAGGGGGGACGAGAAGGGAGACAGAAAGCGAAAGGGGCTAGGGGGAAGGGGAAAGGGAGGGCGAAGGAGGAGGGCGACGGCGAAGGCGAAAGGGGGAGATGGAAGGGGGGAGGTGGGATGGGAAGGGAGAGGGGACGGGGAAGGGATAGGGGGAGAGAGAAATTGGAAGGTGGAACGTTGTGTTTCTCGATTTGAACAGAGCACGTGGTCTCCACCCCTCTCCTGCTTCCCTCCGTTCCCCCGTTCCCCCGTTCCCCCGTTCCCCCGTTCCCCCGTTCCCCCGTTCCCCCGTTCCCCCGTTTTCCCCTTTCCCCCGTTCCCCCCTTCCCCCGTTCCCCCGTTTCCCCACCCCCTTCACCGTTTCCCAACCCCGTTCCCCCGTCCCCCTTCCCCCTCCCCCTCCTCCTCCTCCTCCTCCGCCTCCTCCTCCGCCTCCTCCTCCTCCTCCCTCCTCCTCCTCCTACCTCCTCCTCCGCCTCCTCCTCCTCCTCCTCCTCCTCCTCCTCCTCCTCCTCCTCCTCCTCCTCCTCCCTCCTCCTCCTCCTCCTCCTCCTCCTCCTCCTCCTCCTCCTCCTCCTCCTCCTCCTCCTCCTCCTCCTCCTCCTCCTCCTCCTCCTCCTCTCCTCCTCCTCCTTCCTCCTCCTCCTCCTCCTCCTCCTCCTCCTCCTCCTCCTCCCTCCTCCTCCTCCTCCTCCTCCTCCTCCTCTTCCTGCCCTTGGAGGGGTGCCTCGGCGCGAGGGCGGCGCGTCGGGGCCCCAGGGGAGCCTAAATCCGCCAAGTCGTAGCCTTCGTGGTGGCTGCGCTGCGGTAGGAAGGGCCGCGCCCCGTGGTCCTTGTCCGCACTCCCCGGGTTGGCCCTTGGGGTGTGTGGTCTTGGTCCGCGGGGTTAGTTCCTTCTCTGCCGTACGGTCCCACCGCAGGCGCCACCTTGCTGTGCCCGGCCGGCTTTCGAGGTGTGGGGGCGGGGTCACTCCGACCTGCTGCGTAGGCGGGGGAGGCTCTAGGGTGCGTGCCACCTGCCTGCGGGCTGTGGGGGTGGTCCTGGGCACCGCTAAGTCTCGCACCGCGCTCCCCACGCGGTGGCCGAGGGGGTGCCAGAGTCCCCGATCTCAGAGAGGCGGGAGGCTCCTCCTCCTCCTCCTCCTCCTCCTCCTCCCTCCCTCCCTCCCTCCCTCCCTCCCTCCCTCCCGCCCTCCCTCACCCTCCCTCCCTCCCTCCTCCCTCCCTCCCTCCCTCCCTCCTCCCTCCCTCCCTCCCCTCCCTCCCTCCTCCCTCCCTCCCTCCCTCCCTCCCTCCCTCCCTCCCTCCCTCCTCCCTCCCTCCCCCTCCCTCCTCCTACTCCTCCTCCTCCTCCTCCTCCTCCGCCTCCTCTCCTCCTCCTCGCTCCTCCTCCTCCTCCTCCTCCTCCTCCTCCTCCTCCTCCTCATCCTCCTCCTCCTCCTCCGCCTCCGCCTCCGCCTCCGCTCGCGCCTGTCCGCCTCCGCCTCCGCCTCCGCCTCCGCCTCCGCCTCCGCCTCCTCCTCCTCCTCCATCCTCCTCCTCCCCTCCTCCTCCTCCTATCCTCCTCCTCCTCTCCTCCTCCTCCTCCCTCCTCCTCCTCCTCCTCCTCCTCCTCCTCCTCCTCCTCCTCCTCCTCCTCCTCCTCCTCCTCCTCCTCCTCCTCCTCCGCCTCTCACTCCTCCTCTCCTCCTCCTCCCTCCTCCTCCTCCTCCTCCTCCTCCTCCTCCTCCCCTCCTCCCCCTCCCCGCCTCCGCCTCCGCATCCGCCTCTCCTCCTCCCTCCTCCTCCTCGCTCCTCCCTCCTCCTCCTCCTCCTCCTCCTCCGCCTCCTCCTCTCTCCGCCTCCTCCTCCTCCTCCTCCTCCTCCTCCTCCTCCTCCTCCTCCTCTTCCTCCTCCTCCTCCTCCTCCTCCTCCTCCTCCTCCTCCTCCTCTCCTCCTCCTCCTCCTCCTCCTCCTCCTCCTCCTCCTCCTCCTCCTCCTCCTCATCCTCCTCCTCATCCTCCCCCTTCTTTCTGCCTCCACCCTCCGCCTCCCCTCTCCTCCTGCCTCCGTGCCCCCCTTGCTCCTACCTTCGCCACTTTCGCGGGCCCCTGTGAGGCAGCGGAGATCCCTTTGAGACCTCGCGGCTCCCTCGAGGACTGCGAACTGCGTAAATGTCGCGGCTCACTCGGGGGCTGCCAACTGCGCAACTGTCGCCACGTTCGCGGGCTCCTGGGAGGCACGAAGGGGGTGAGGGTAGCGGAGATCCCTTTGAGACCTCGCGGATCCCTGGGGGGGGGCTACCAACTGCGCAACTGTCGCCACGTTCGTGGGCTCATGGGAGGCATGGCGGGGGTGAGGGCAGCGGGGATCCCTTTGAGACCTCGCGGATCCCTGGCTGGCTACTAGCTGCGCAACTGTCGCCACAGTCATGGGCTCCTGCGAACTGCGCAACTGTCGCCACTGCCGTGGGCTCCTGAGAGGCCCAGCGGGGTGGAGGTGTACGGGCACCCAGCGGAGACCTCGCGGTTCCCTGGGTGGCTGTGACGTGCGCAGCTGTCTCCACGTTCGTGGGTCCCTGGGAGGCCCAGCAGAGTGGAGATGTATACGCGCACCCAGCCGAGACCTCGCGGATCCCTGGGGGGGCCGCGAAGTGCGCAGCTGTCTCCACTTTTGTTATCTCCTGGGAAATCCAGCGGAGTGGAGGTGTACGCGCACCCAGCCAAGACCTCGCGGATCCTTGATTGGTTGCCAACTGTGCAACTGTCGTCACTTTCGTGGGTTCCTGGGAGGGCCCGCGGAGAGGGTTGGTACGCGGACCGGGCCAAGGCGGATCCGTTGGGGGCTGCGAAGTGCGCAGCTGTCGCCACTTTCGTGGGCTCCTGGGAGGCCCAGCGGAGTGGAGGCGTAGACGCGCACCCAGCCGAGACCTCGCGGATCCCTGGGGGAGGCTGCGAAGTGTGCAGCTGTCGCCACTTTCGTGGGCTCCTGAAAGGCCCAGCGGAGTGGAGGTCCACGCGCACCCAGCCGAGACCTCGCGGATCTCTGGTTGGCTGCCAACTGTGCAACTGTCGTCACTTCCGTGGGCTCCTGGGAGGCACGGCTGAGTGGGGAAGTACACAGACCCAGCAGAGACCTCGCGGCTCCCTCGGGGGGAGGAGGGGGGGGCAACTTCACAACTGTCGCCACTTGCGTAGGCTCTTGGGAGGTTCGGCGGAGTTGGGGAAGACGCAGGCCCAGCCGAGACCTCACCCTCCACAGCGAAGAGTCGAAGATGGCTACACCTTATGTTGGAATTGAGCGGTCCTGACTATAAAACTCACTGCGTTTCCATTAAACGTTCACACCTGCCCGTTGAAAGAAAGATAACCATTGCAACCCCGTGCTGCATCAGCTTGCTACGGAGAGCTTGTGGTCCAGACCCCCCGTGTTGAAACAGGCCTCGAGATTAGGAACGCGTCTAGGAAAACAGAGAAGCCGAAGGCAGGAACGAGAGGAGGCAATAGAAGGCGGCAGGTGGAAGATAGAGGCCCCTCTGAGTCCCAGATAAAAGAGCTGCACTCACCGGCTACGGAGAATCTGTCACCACGCCTGCTGCACCTACAGCGGCTCTGGCCGTGGAGCGACTCATCGCACGGCCCAGGAGCACTCGGATCACACATAGGTACCACCCAAGATAACAGCTGCCCTCCCCTCCTCCTCCTCCTCCTCCTCCTCCTCCTCCTCCTCCTCCTCCTCCTCCTCCGCCTGTGCTCTTCACCATCCCAACCACATGCTTCAATCTCTGCCCCGCACACCGAGACACGCCCCCCTCCCCCTCCACAGGCCCTCGACGAGTAGCTTCGCCACCTGGCGCCAAGCACACGGACAGGCGGCCTGGAACGGATGGCAAGCGAGGAGGACGAAGGTCGAGGGAAGAAGCGATCCCAGATCCAACACGGCGTTCCAAAGCTCGAAACAATGTACCAGCACGGTCCAATTCTCTACGATGTTGTATAGCAACGGCAGCTCCGAATGTAATGTTTTTCTGCGGCCGCTCCTGACCTCGAAACAGCAAGGGTAATGAACCACGAAAAAAACAACAACTAAAAAAAACGATACCTGCAGGACCTGGTAGCCGTCGACGCTGTCTCTTGGAAGACATTCCAGGAAGTACAGGGAGATTTAAAAAAACAAGGGTTTTGAACAACAAGGATTTAAATTCTGGGTTGTCGCGTAAAATTTGGAGCGCCGCGCCGGGGCGAGCCACAAAACTAGGATGTTGGAAGAAAAAAAGCGCAATGACGCGGCACCAAACAAAACAAGGTTTTCCATTGTGAAATCTGCGCCAATCCGCGTACCGCCTGAAATGCAATTCTAAGTGGGCACACCAAATCAATATCTAAAAACGCATTTGTAGGGTGGCATTCGGGGATGGACAGACCCCCCTTCAGTAAAACGTGGTTTAGTGAAAACTACCTGAGGCCCAAACCTGGCGGGCGCAAGCCTGGAAAACAACGGCCACGGCGCCCTCTCGAGAACCGAAAACGGACAATTCACTAATCGACGTGTCACTGTTGGGGGTTCTGTCCACCCCCGAGGCATCTTTAATGGGGGGGGGACGCTGGGGGGGGTTGTTCGGGGGGTCGTGATGGGGGGGGGCGGGTCTTGCCGGGGGTGACGGTGGGGCTCCGGGTGAAGAACTAAGGAGAGATGTAAGTGAAGATGTGGGCTGGCGGGGCTCCGGGGTGAAGATGCACGCGAAGATTTGAATGAAGATGTGGGCTGGCGGGTCTCCGGGGTGAAGATGCACGTGAAGGTGTACATGAAGATTTAGGCTCGAGGGGCTGCGGGGTGAAGATTCTCGTGAAGATTTGAATGAAGATTTAAGCTGGCGGGGCTCCGGGGCGAAGATTTTCGAGAAGATTTGAATGAAGATTTAGGCTGGCGCGCCTCTGGGGTGACGATTTTCGCGAAGATTTACATGAAGATTTAGGCGGGTGGGCCTCCGGGGTGAAGATTGTCGTGAAGATTTGAATGAAAATTTACGCTGGCGGGTCTCTGGGGTGAATATGTCCGTGAAGATTCGACTGAAGATTCTGGCGGGCCTCCAGGGTGAAGATTTTCGTGAAGATTTAGGCTGGCGCGCCTCCGGGGTGAAGATTTTCGTGGAGATTTAAATGAAGATTAAGCGGGCCTCTGGAGTAAAGATTTTCGTGAAGATTTGAATGAAAGTTTAAGCTGGCGGGTCTCTGGGGCGAAGATTTTCGTGAAGATTTAAATGAAGATTTACGCGGGCGGGCCTCCGGGGTGAAGATTTTCATGAAGAATTAGGCTGGCGGGCCTCCGGGGTGAAGATTTTCGTGAAGATTCAAATGAAGATTAGGCTGGCGATGCTCCGGGGTGAAGATTTTCGTGAAGATTGAAATAAAGATGTAGGCTGGCGAGGCTCTGTGAGACGATTTGAATGGATATTTAAGCGCAGATTCAGGGTGGCGGGGTTCTGGGTGAAGATTTTAGGGAAGATTTAACTAAGATTCAAACTGGCGGGGCTGTGAGTGAAGATTTAGGCGAAGATTTACGTGAAGATTTCGGCTGGCGAGCCTCTGGGTGTAGATTCGCGTGAAGATTCACACGAAGATTTAGGCTGGCGGGGCTCTGGGCGTAGATTTACGTGAAAATTTAGATTGAGATGTATGCCGCGAGGCGCGAGGGAAGGTCGAGGTGAAGATTTCAAGTGAAGATGTAAACGTCAAGAGCGCGAGTGGAGCTCCAGGTGAATACTTAGGCTAAGATCGAAGGGAAATTTAGCTGAAGATGGCTCGTGCCGGTAAAAACATGAAAGCATACCCAAAAAAAACGCAGACAAAACAAACGGCGCCTGCCCGCGCGACGGCTGGCGTTCAGAGAATGCGAAAACGTGTTCTGAAACGCGTTCCCAACAAAAAACAATGTTAAAACGACAACGTTAGGAACAAAAACAACTGAACAACATTTAGGGTCACCCCTGGGATGAAGATGTAGGTGAAGATTTAAAACCTGGGTGGAGATGCACGGCCCCGGGTGAAGATGTTGGTGAAGAATCAGGGATTTGGGTGAAGATTTGAAAAGAGATTTGCGGCCCTGCGTGAAGATTTAGGTGAAGACTTAGGGCCCTCGGTGAAGATTTAAATGAAGAGTTCGGGCTCTGGGTAAAGATTTAGAGCCCTGGTCGAAGATTTACAGGCCTGGGTGAAGACTTTAAAAAAAATGAATGCCCACGGGAAAGATTTGCCTGTGTGAATACTTACATTAAGACTTAAGGCATGGGTGAAGATTTATGGCCCTGGGCGAAAATGTAAATGAAGATTAGGGCGCAGGTTGAAGATTTAGGTGAAGATATAAGGCCTGGATGAAGTTTTGAGGCCATTGGCGAAGAGTTTGTTGAAGATTCAGGGTCCTGGGTGAAGATTTAGGTGAAGACGTACGGCCCTGGGTGAAGATTAACGCGAAGATTTAAAGCCCTGGACGAAGATTTCAGAGGAAATTTTGGGCTCTGGGTGAAGATTTAAAGCCCTGGTTGAAGATTTACGCGCTTGGAAGAAGATTTAAATGAAGACTTAATGCCCTGGGTAAAGATTTAAGAGCCTGGGCGAATATTTAGATGAAGATTTAGATGTACTGCATTGGAGGATGATGTACGCGAAGATTTCAGGCCTGGGTGAAGTTTTGCGGCCCTGGGTGAAGATTTAGGTGAAGATTCAGGGTCCTGGGTGAAGATTTAGGCGAAGATTTACAGCCCTGGGCGCAGATTTATGTGAAGAGTTAGGGCCTTGTGTGAAGATTTAAATGAAGATTTCGGGCTCTGGGGGAAAAATTAGAGCCCTGAGTGACGATTTACGGGCCTTGGCGAAGATTTACGTGAATTTTTGGTAACCTGTGAAGATCTGGGAGAAAATCCGGAGGAATATCTGGAGGAAGATCGCCGTGACAATTCTTAAAATTAGGTATTCGAGTATCATTTGCACGATGACGGCAGGGCGTGGAACAAAACAAGGGTTTATAACCTTATGGTTTCAGAACAGGTCCGCGAGGCTGAGCCCGGGCATGCCGACCTAGTTCTTTTGAGGTCCGCGCAGATTTCTTGAATCAGCGCTGGAATTCCCTCCCTGGCGCGCGAAGCGCGCCAGGAACGGCGCCGGAGGCGCCAACAGGGGGGCCCAGCGCCGATCCATGAAATCCGCGCGGAGCTGTCAGAAATTATGGTTATAACATGTCTTGTTCTTCGAATTTAATGTTGTCGGTCGTGTTCCAGCTGTCGAGCAGCCCGCCTTCGCAACTGGCTGCCACTACTGCGCCTCCAGAAACAAGTCGGATGCGCACCCCGAATTGCGCCGCCGGCTCGACTGCGGTGCGCGCAGCTCCACTCCTCGGCGTTCTGCATCTCATTGGCCTGGCTGTTCGTCCAAACAACCTCTGCATCGCATGACGCCTTGGTGCCCTCCTTCAAGCGCTGAGGGCGGGCACTTCCGTCCGTGCTCTCGTCATCAATCGGGCGGTGCGCGTCGCATCCGCTCCGTTCGTCGCCCATGTTGGCGATGCTTTGGATCGCGGCTATGAGCCCTACGTGCATTCATTCGCCTCTTCGCCTCATTAAGGTAAGAGACCCCACTAACGAGCACCCTGCCGTCTGCGCCTCGCACTGCCAATGCCCATAGTCTCCTCAATACCTTTGACCATACCGAGGGACGCCAAGAGCTACATGTGGGGCGCTCGATGGTAACCAATCGACGCGTTCACTGCTCGCTCCGCTAGGCGCCGTTACTCGCTTAGAAGAACCTCAGCGGCACAGATCACCCCGAGCACCATGTCGAGCTCGCGGGGATTTTAGATCGCCATGGGCCCAAGCTCCCACAGCAAGCACTTCAGTTGCTCGAGGCTCCTCCGGTCAGAGCCCTTGGGGGTCAGCATAGCAGCGCACGGCTGTCCCGAAGTCTGCCTCTCGGCCTTAGGCGGCTGGCCTGCTGCTTCTGTGCGCCGCGGGCGCCGCTGCTTCTGGGTGGGCACGCTTGGCGCGGGCCCCCTCCTCCTGACGCCTCCTCTTTGGGTGGGTCTCTCCTGGTGGGGTCTGCCCTCGTCCTCCTCCTCCGCCGCCTGCTGCTGCTGGTGCTGTGGCTGCTGGGGCTGCGGCCGTTTGCTTCCCGCCGTCTTGGCGCTTCCTCTTTCCATGCCTTCCCTTCCGCCTCCTGGAAGGGGCCCTGGGACACACCAATAGATACACACACATAACAGGATCCTCCACACTTTCCCATATGTTCTGGGTCTTTGTCTTCCCGCCCAATTCCCATAGTTTCCCAATATTTTCTGAGGAGTCCACGATGAATTGTGTCTGTGTGTTCTTTCCCCTCCTGCCTCCTCCCCCGTCGCTGCCAGCTGCCGGTGTGGCTGCTGCTGCGTCTGCGCGCTCGTCTCCTCCGCCTCCCGGGCGCCTCCTTCTGCGGGGCGGGTCGGGGCGCGGCCTGCTCCTCTGCCTGGGCCCGCCCTCCGCCGCCTCCACGCCTCCGCAGCCCTCCTCCGCCTCCTCCTCCTTCTTGAAGGGGCCCCAGGACACACAAATCAATACACACAAATAAAACATATTCGCCATATTTTCCTATATTTTCTGGGTTTGTGTCTTCCCCCGCACTTCCCATATTTTCCCATATGCTCCTGGGAATCGACGATTAATTGTGTCT